TAATTAACTATTACAATCACATTATATTAATATGATTTTAATTAGTAATTTAAATTTTAGTAAGAAATTTTTCCTTTTGTTATGGCGTGATGTAAAAAGATATTTTTTTTATTTAAAAATTAGAATTAATAATTTAAAAAGATTATTTACTTGCATTTCTTAATATATATATATGTATATATATAACAAATATTAGTAGATAAATACTAATATCAAAAGATTATTTAATATAATTTATAATCACTTGGTCTGAATGGGGTGAGCAAAACACGTAATATAATCATTTACTGCAATTCTCATTCCAAACTTTATGTATTTGTTAATTTCTTACATTTTTAATTTTTTAGAACAATTTTGAATGATTAATAAAAAAAATTAAGGATGCACTCTATATCTGAAAGAAGGAAAATATTATAAACAAATTTGACGAAAGACCTAATTGAGTTTTAATCATGGTACTATGATTTCAATTCAAAATTTAAAAATTGGTTCCTAGTTCAATTGGAAACTCTTCCACTCTTGCATTACATATTGGCATGTACATACATCATTTTCATTGCATGTCAATCTCCACATGTACTTACAAATGTGGTCAAGAAAATGTAACTAAGGAAACTTGTAAGCAGTTGCAGGGACGTGATGGACAGAGAGGATTGAAAAACTCAAGTTATCTTTGGCTTCTTTATAAAAGGTGCAACATTGATTTACATGTCATATTTTTTGCATGTCAATTTGCACATTTACTTGACAAATGTGGTCAAGAAAATGTAACTAAAAAAACTTGTAAGCAATTGTAGAGAAGTGATAGACGGAGAGAATTGAAAAACTCAAGTTATTTTTGACTTCTTTATAAAAGGTCCAACATCGATCTTGCTACTTTTTTGAACAAATAATTTTCCACCAAACGTATTTCTCTTTGATTTGGTTGTCCATCAAACAAAGACAAACCATTTTGGTTTTCCAATCGAAAAGATACCCCACCAATAGTTCGAATACGAACCCACACCATAGCCTAACAAGACAACCAAAAAAAACCTAACATCATAGCCTAACAAGACAACTAAAAAAAACTATTTCAAGTACTATTAATCTCTCAATTTTCTCAGATTTTCTCAAGAATTGAGTAGGTGATCAGGGGAAAAACTATTGAGATAATTGAAACTTGGAATACCTACTTGGCTAAGTTGAATTGTGCTGGAGAATTTAGCAGTCATGGAAAATAGTCAAATTTTTGAAAATATAATAAGATTGAGATAATATGCATTT